AATTTCTGCGTGAAAGAAGTAAATATTTTTCATATTGGATGAACTCACCGCGACAAAAGAATATAAGGTTTCCACTAACCCACGTTGTTTTCGTTTCTGGATCCCTTTTAGAACGACGCAACGGTGGCAATACAATGAATACACTAGATAATCTACACAAGTTTATTTCTTACCTTTTTTGCGATTGAGGTGAATTTTGCTTCTGAGGTCAACATCTACAAGAGGTCTTCGAGCTCTCTCAAAGCTATCTAGATAGGGTAATACCAAAAATGGACGGCTGATTATTAACGTAAAGGTAGTACAAAACGGTGACTGGCACGTTTACAATAGAAAACATTTTATGCATTTAATTATACAGGGTGGCTCAAAATGAGTATTATGGTTTGAGCGTTTTTCGAAATTTGTGAAAATCTTTTAAGGATTCAGTATAGATGACTTGGGCGACTTTATGTGGGGCGACACACCATAGAGCAACGAACCAAAATCCTTAACTAAGACTGCATATCGTGCCACTTCAACTTAAGGCTTGGAAATACTCAATTCAATTCAATTCAATGGACTTTATTGTAACACATACATAATTATGTATCCTTACAAATGGCTAAGTCTGGCCAATGGCCATTTATACTTAACCATAAATGTCATGTCAATGCTTATTACTACCTTCAAAATAAAATAAAAAAAAACTGAAAAAGAAAGGGAAAAAGAAGAATAATAGTAAAAGAAGAATTAATAAATATGACATAATGCGTACGATTGGAACAAAAAAAATAAAACGTACGATTCAAAGAGAGGACAATAACCTAAGAGCTCAATAAGTAGTTTTTATATTTTTTTTTTAGAAAAGTTGCTGATGAAACATTGTTCGAAAGAGTTGATCAATTTCACCGCATTATACGTAAAAGACCGTTGAAAAATGGCTGTCCTATGTTGTGGCATTGTCAGGAGATTAATGTTGCGCGTATTCAAATTGTGAATTAAATTCCTACGAACAAGCTTTTGCATAAGATAAACGGGAACAGAGGTTATTAATATTTTTACGACAAATGTAACAAAGTTTTATTTGAAAAGATCAGAGATTTTCAACCAATATATTGAAGATATTGAGTGAGAAACATGATCGTACCTTCTTAAATTGTTTATGTAACGACTACATGAGTTTTGAATTTTTTGTAGTCTGTATTTTGTGATTTCATCCAGACAGGGATAATAAACTATGTTGCAGTAAGCGATTTTACTGAGTATGAGTGACTCGCATAACATTTTCTTAATTTTTCTATTAAAAACAGTTTTACTTGCATATAGAAGCCTGAGTCTAAAATAACTAGACTTACACACATAGCCAACATGCTCCTGAAATCTGAAATCTTCATCCAAGTACAAACCTAAATTTATTGCAGAATGGGAAAATATTAGGATACTATTATTTAGTGATAAATTTAACTTTGATTTGAGGAAAGTACGTTTTTTCCTTGGAGCAAAAAAATATAGCTGTCGATTTCGATGCGTTTAGACGTAAATTATGTTTTGCAGCATATGTGCATAAGTATTGCAGATCTTGATTGATAAGGTTGTTAGCTAAATGGTAGTTGTTCGGACAGAAATTATGAAAAACCTGCATATCATCACTGACTAGAACAATGTTGAAGGGTGTTAGAAATGTCAAAGGTGTATATAAGGAATAAAAGTGGACCTAATATGGATCCCTGAGGCACGCCGGAACAAATCGGCCTTTTGTCTGAAAGTTTATTTTGTATGACGACATATTGATGTCGTTCATTTAAATAGCAATCTATCCATTCCAGAACCAAGTCGTCACACCCAATGTATTTACATTTAGAAACTAACAGCTTATGATTCAGGGTGTCAAAAGCCTCGCTGAAATCCAATAAGACTAATGAAATTGCCTCTTGCCTATCCGCCGCTGTTAGTACATCGTCACAAACCCGTGTCAAATCGGTAGTGGTACTGTGACCCTTTCTAAAGCCTGATCGATTTAATGGCAAAATGCTACGTTCGAGTAAGTACTCATTCAACTGCATATAAACTATTTTTTCTAGAATTTTTGATAGAGCTGACACCAAGCTAATAGGTCGGAGATCACCAGGAACCTGGGGATTAGGAATCTTTGGAAGAGGTTGCACTAATGCTTCCTTCCAAGCACTTGGAAAAACACCGCGCTCTAAACAACAATTTATTAAGTGCAAAATGTATATTCCTACAGCAGGTAGACACAATTTAATCATCTCAAGGGTAACGCCGTCAATACCACTAGAATTGGACTTGATACTGCGAATAGCATCCAATACTGTAGATATATCGACAAGACGGAACTGAAAATGAAAATCTTGGTTTAATTTGTTATGGCTATAAAATTCGATAGTTTCCGAGCAATCATCGTCACTTTTCTGGAATATACTGGTAAAATATTTATTTATTTCATTGGGAACTGCTAAATCATCTGGAATGTCAGTATTACTAGAATCCTGAATTCTAAATGACTTAAGAGCTTTATAAAGAGCTGCAGAGTTTCTTTGTCGAGATAGATGTTGAAGGTAGCCTGATTTCTCTGCACGTGTAGCAGTTTTGGTAAAATTTCTCAGTTCATTGTGATGATTTCGATTCGCATCCGTTCGAGACCGTCTATATTTATGAAAAGCCTTATCTCGTTCTTTCATTATCATTTTCAAATTGTTTGTGAGCCATGGTGCACGAGGCTTAGACACTCTCACTGTTTTTAGTGGTGCATGTATGTCAAAAAGTCTTACAATGTTATCGGAAATAAATTTTACTTTCTCATCGATATTAGCCATATAAATGACTTCAGCCCAATTAACGCTAAATAAGTCATCGTCAAAAGAGGTTAGATCAAAATTGCGATAGTCGCTAAATGTAATTACTCTAGGTGGTGGTTTATTGTTTTTACACGAAATGTGACAGAATACAGCCTGATGGTCACTAAAGTAAGTTAACAGTGAAAGTTCCCACTTTGGAACATCTTTGTGCACAGTTGAAGAAAACCGGATCTAAAAGCGTTGAAGAATGATCAATTATTCGAGTTGGTTCATTCAATAACTGGTGCAGGCTGTAAGATTGAAAGCACTGATTAATCTTATTATCAATAAAGAAATTAACGTTGAGGTCACCAAGTACCAAGATGCATTCATTAGACGGTGCTAAGATGGACAACGTATTATCTAATATACTTAATGCAACATCCAAACTTCCCCGAGGCGGTCTATAAATAACACCAACTACAATACATTTACGGCCAATACGAACCTTGAGCCAAAGCATATCTAGAGAAGTACGATCATATTCCTCAAACGATAGAATTTCTGATGAAAAACGATTTTTGACATAACAGCCAACCCTACCTCCGCGACTACCACGATCACGACGATAGAAGTTATAACCAGAAATATCTACTGAACTTGTTGGAATATCTGAAGACAGCCATGTTTCTGTAACAGCCACTACATCGAGATCCATATCATTAACCATGAAAGAAAGGTCCGCCATTGAAGGAAGAATTGATCTGGTATTAGAGTGAACAAATTCAATAATGTCAGCCATAGTTAATTCTACTTCTCAAATTATCAAAATGGCTTTTAAAAACAGCACAACAGCTAGAGTAAGACGCGTGATCAGTTGGTAGACCTTTCTTACTGGTTTTGTTAACATTAAGAGAATGTATGCATTGGAAAACAGATGATTTACAATCTTTAGCTTTATGATTTTGGGAGCATTTTGGACATACAAAATTTGATTTGCAGCTTATATCGGTATGACCATACCCACAACACTTAAAACACTTCAACACACGTATATCATCACTTACAGGCGATTTCTTCCATCCGATGAACAGGAAACTTTTCTCTAACAAGATATTCCTAAGGTCAGGAGATACTTCTATGACGATATTTGTGCTCTCGTAATGCTTAACTTTGGTAACAAATTTTATGTCAGACTGATGCGTGTCATCAATATTGTTTAAGGCTACAATATTATTGATTATCGATTCGGGCGAATCCAGACCGTCGAGGTTAACGTTTTTGATTAGGAGACGTGGATTAAGTTTTCTAGCTTCCATGATTGAATATTTGGACCCAAGCTCCTTATCCAAACTATTCTTAAGAACCGTAAGTGACTTCTCATCTTGACAGTGAACTGCAATTCCATTTCTTATTTTGTGCGTGTTATTAATGCAAACATTAATTTTAGCAGGATTTACTGAAGTTGTTACATCCCGCAGAATATCGTTATTGCCAGAGTTACTGTCAGACTTGATTAGCAAGACAGAAGACCTGTTCGGTATTTTTTTGACTGCATCGCTAAAGCTTAGCGTTGAGGAAGCAGTTGATCTCGAAGGTAGCATAACTGAATTCATAGTGGGAGAGCTGCTTGTTGCTGATGCGAATCAATGATTGATTTTTGGAGATTGTTTGTGTATTCTAGTTGCTCTATCATCTTAGAGCTCAAGTTCTTCTCATGTGTTGTCTTTACAGGAATCACAGGAGTCTGCATTAGATGTCATATTTACAAGTGGATCTAATTTCCTCAGACTATTAATTGCGATAAATTATTTCCAAAGAACATGACAAAAAAAAACATCTCGTAAGAAAGACTGTACCCAGGAATGTAGTTTTTGTGTTCTGATAGCACTCTAACTGATGCAACGGAAATAAGAAAAAAAACCTCCAATACACCAACCAAACTTACGCAGATTTTATTGTCCTGGAGGATTTTCCACAAGCTAAATAGCAATATCAGTTTCACTGCAATAATCACATGATAACCGTTGATATATACACTTTTTACATACACATCTACACGACTCGAGTATATATACTCGATACACAAAACTTACCGTACCTTCTCTTGTCCAAAGAATTATTGTTTTCCGATGTTATCAGAAAGCACTTCACCGTCACCTTCCACTCTTATCAATTACCGGAAATAAATAAACTTTTTTTTTCTGAATGGTTGTATTTTTTCAGAATGTGGAATCAGGCCACTGGTGGATCGAAATGGAAGGATCGTAGGAGGAAAAGGAGCAGCGTTTGGAGAATTTCCATGGCAGGTGCTAGTCAGGGAATCAACGTGGCTAGGATTGTTTACCAAAAACAAATGTGGAGGAGTCTTGATTAGCCATAGGTAAAACGTAGTGCGAATGGACAGCTAAGAATAAGAAAACTTCTCAAAAACTAGTTTACCAGAAGTTCAAAACGAACAAAAAATATTTTGGTGCTAGATTTCAAATGCGTTAAAGCAACCATTGAAACAAGTAGCGATGGTCGACAAGCAACATAAAACATTACAAAAAATATCGACATATTATAAAAGTGTCGTATCTCTCTAACATATTTGGACATCTGAGATCTTTTTTTTATTTCCGTCTTAGACTACTCAAAAACCTTAAAATATACAAGAATGAAGCATCCGAAAGCTATTATCTTGTTGGAAATCGGATTTAGTATTCCAAAAATAATGCAAGAGATCTTTTAGCTGTGATCTTTGTCAAGCAAAAAAATGCAAATAGGTTGCAAAGCAATTTGCCGATAAAGAGATGGTTGGGATGCATTTTTAGTGATTTTTTTTTATATTCCAACTACCACGAAGGCCTAAGGCCTAAGCACCCATTGGGTACCGTGGGGCTATGGGGGATACATGGGAAAGGGGGAACGCCACACGGACTCTGGCGATGGAACACGTGTGCATGCAACATGCACACATTCTGGCTCCGCCTACGAGAACCGCCGGGTGGTACCTCCGCGTTCGACAGTCAGAGACCATCTACCACCTACGGACAATCACAAAATCCATAGCCAAGAGAAAAATTTCTCCTGGGACGGGACCACAGCCGACGTCAACTACGAGCCGTGATGAAAGAAAGGCAACACCGCGCTCGGACGGCATGGTAGTGCTACCTGTGAACGTCGGCCGCCAGCGGCTGTGTGCTCCGTCTCCGTGTAACGTTCAAGAACTAAATTTAATTTTGGAAAAGAGGACAGTTCGATTCGATACAAATCATCTGAATATGAAATAGCTCTAAAAAATTTAAAAATACGAAATAATCGTGATATATATGAGTCGCTAATGCAGTTAACCTAATTAAAAGTATTTAGTTTACGTTTTTTGGTGTCAGCATAGTGTGTTCCAACAGGCCCAGCTTGGAAATGTGGAGTTACCTGTTTGTTTTTAATACATTTACTTTCAGTTTTACTGTTATTTTTCAATTTTACATAATCATTCAAAATTATGTTTAAAAAAATAGACAAAAGCTTAGATAAAATATCTGCATAATTGCGGCCACAGATGCAAGTTAAAGAAAATTCACTGTATATAAAGTCAGACTGAATGCTGAGCAAGGTTAACTGACACAAAATAAATTTTTGATTATTGCTTTTCAAGAAGAAAATTTCCAATCTATCTACATTAATAATAGATTCAAAAATGGCATACATATGGTAGCATATGATTGGTACATAACTGGTTGGAATTGACAGTCCTCCTCTTTGCAAATGATCAAAATAAACATTTGTTGTTATGAACCTTTTTCTTTAACTATTAGCGATTTGCATATCTCGCAGTTTAGGTTTTTAGAGAGAGCGTGTGAAGCATATCCAGATATACAGGGTTATCCAAATTAAGTGTCCACCATTAGTAACTTTGTTATTAGTGAAAATACAAAGTTGTTTGAATTAGCAAACTAGTAGCATTTTTAACGCTGGTAAAAATGAGAAATAAAAAAAAACAATTGAGAGTCGTTATTTTGATTTTTTTCAGTAAAATAACATTTTTTTAAATGGAAACCCCTGTATATTATATTTTTTTCTGTTAAAGCATCAAATTTTAAACAAAAAAGCTTACAATAACTTTTCTCCTAGGTTACAAATTGTTGAAGTTATGGCCTCCAATCTGAAACAATTAAATTGTATCGACAAACTTTATTTTCAACATCAACTTATAATCTTACAAAATACAATAACAATTTTTTTTAAAGAAGATGCTCGAAAACACCACCTTGTTCTTCAATACATTTTTGGGCACGTTTTTCAACTGCTCGAACTGTCTTAAGTATGGTCCTACCATCTATCTGGGTTATCTTTTCCCTAACTGCAGTCTTTAACGCGTCAAGGTTATCGTACCTTCGCTTGTAAATTTGGTTCTTTAAGTAACCCCACAAGAAGTAATCAAGTGGGTTTAGATCTGGTGATCTGGGAGGCCACTGTATTGGGCCATTTGTTCCTATCCACTGATCATTAAAAGTAGTACTTAGAAAATGATAAGTACCTCTGGAGTTGTGGGCAGGTGCGCCATCTTGCTGAAAATGCAGATGATGTCTACTTATAAGATCCAATTCGTCTAAGAAATTAGTCAGAATTTCTGACATAAATTCCACATATCTTTCACCAGTTAGGGTTCCCTCATAAAAGAACGGGCCAACAATTTTTGAACCAATTATACCGCACCAAACGTTGAAACTGAAACGGACTTGTGGGCCTCTTGGATGTACTAACAAAAGATTTTCTCTTGACCAATAATGGTGGTTTTTTCTATTAAACATTCCAGAATTTGAAAAATTTGATTCATCTGTCCATAAAAGGTAACGAAAGTTATTTACATTTTGGCGACAGAAGCTAAGATACCAATGGCAAAAAACAAGTCTTCTCTCTGGATCCCCTGCCAAAAGCGTTTGAACTGGTCGGTACTTATACGGAATAAATTTGTATTTTTTTAAAATCCTTTGAACAGTACCATAACTGAAATTAGAGTCCTTGAGAATATCTGCTATTGAATTCTCACGATAAGCTTCAAAATATCCAATAACTGCAATTTCCGTGGCCTCGCTTATTATGAATTCTTTTTTTGCCCTTGTTTTAGCAAAAACATTTTCGTTGCCCCTAAATTTTCGATAAAGTCTCAGAAAATATCGTTCATACGGTTGAATGCGAGCGGGATATAATTCACTGTAGTATTCTCTTGCTCTCAAGGAGGATTTTCTGCACACTAAATAGCATTCTAACATATCACACTTTTCTTCATGGGAGAACATTTTTCTTTAAATTAATGACACAATAAAGCTTATAAACAAGTATTTACACTAATGTTTGACATTATTTGATTTTATCATTGTTTTCCAAAGCCTTCTAGTTGCGAGTATGTCCAGTTTAACAATTTGTCGCTTATCTTAATGCTGTCAAATCGCGAACGCCATGTTGTTTTCATAGCCGTCTTAATATTATAATACTGCAAATAATTAAAAATATTTATCGTTATTTTGACTTTATTTTTGACTTTAGCGGAAAAGTCATTATGAACTTTTTTGTTTAAAATTTGATGCTTTAACAGAAAAAAGTATAATATACAGGGGTTTCCATTTAAAAAAATGTTATTTTACTGAAAAAAATCAAAATAACGACTCTCAATTGTTTTTTTTTATTTCTCATTTTTACCAGCGTTAAAAATGCTACTAGTTTGCTAATTCAAACAACTTTGTATTTTCACTAATAACAAAGTTACTAATGGTGGACACTTAATTTGGATAACCCTGTATAAGTCTTAGTACTATCCTCTATGTCACAATTGGCTAAGTAATTTGTCTCAAATACTTCATTGAATATATCCAAAACTTCAGGATTTTGTTTGGTATCCAAGAAATCAAAATTTTCTTGAGTTTCTAAGCAGTTTTGGAACCTTGTTTTAATTTCTGCTAAAGAAAATGACGATTTCTTTTTATTGAAAATATGCTTCAGCCGTATTTTCTTTTCAGCATTAAAAATTTCATCATATGACACATTGTAATTGCAGCCACATAAAAGTCTATAATTGCCAAATCGTTTTTCTAAATTATCAGTGGTGAATTTTCCAGGCAATACATACTCAATGTCAAATTGATTAAATGAATATTCAATTATATTAAGTAGAGTCAGCGTGCTTTGATATAGAGCTGTATACATTTCTGGTGTCAAGTGTCCATTATTATTCTCTAGATTATGCCATTTTTCTAACCATATCAGGAATTTTTTTAAAAATTGTACTCTATAATCATATTTATTGGTAATAGGCTTACAAAATTCGTTTCGCTTCTCCTTTTATTACACTTGTATTACTGACAATATCCCACAAATTCCTGATTATTTCCAAAAAGTGTGCAGCATCATTAAACTTTAATTCTTTCATAGCAGCTATTGTTGAGTGATGGAATAAATTATCTATTATTTACATTTTGCCTTTCAAATGAATTTGGATGCAATGTTTTATAATTTAATTTATATGCTTTCTTAACTACAGCATCTTTTTCCAATTGATATACAGCACGAATGTTTTCAAATTTAGCATACTGAATAATATCATTATTGTCAAAATTAGAATACGAAACTTTTGTCTAGGTTTTTTAAATTAATCCAATTATTTCTGATACTCTTGAAAATATGCACAACATCATAAGTTAAATATATGTTCTCATCAGGATTATGTGGATTTGGAATAGAATAATTTTCTGATGAATCCTTTGCTAATTTCCTGAACATTGCTCTATTAATTCGGTGATTATCAGTAACAACACAAATAACTTCAAATCCACATTTTTGAACTAAATTTATCACATGTTCAACCAAAGGTGTCATTTCATCACCTGTTAGATTTGAAACTGTTAGTAATTTGATAATTTCTGTTATGTTTCCAAATGCTGAAGATAGCATGAAGACTAAAACAGTTTTAGCCATGTCATTTTTATTTGAAAAATACAACCAGAATTTGCACGTTTTCAATAGTTGAAATCCTTAGCGTCCTGAGGCGCGAACAGCCACAGTCACACTTCTTAGTTTATTTTTAAAGCACAGAAGCACTCCAACTGGAGTCTATTTCTCATATATTATAGTCACCGATCACTTTGAACACATACACACACTTTGAAGCTTAGAAAACAAGCTTATCTCTTAATTACAGCCTCTGCGATTCCAAAATCACAAATTGAAAAGGTTATGTTTTCTCAGCGTTTTGAGCGGCGGGAGTAACACTACCACCTACGTTGCCAGATTTCTTTGTTCACGGCTCGTAGTTGACGTCGGCTGTGACGGGACTCGAACCCGCACAGCGCACGGCGACTGATCAGGAGACCGAAGAGTCTACTACTGCGGCCACCGCTGCTGCCTGAATTATTCAAAGATATCTTTGAAAACTGACCCAATCATGTACAATACAAAATAGAAACTGACACAATTGTATCATTAGCAGCTGCCATCCATATGAGCTGCCTTGATCGCGTGTGAACTAGTTTATTTACCCCAGAAGGGATACATTATCACTACTTTTACGAGGTATCCCCAGGAGGTGTGATCAACAAATTAATTATAATGAATTGAAATCAAAAGTGTATCTAAAACGTCAGCTGTCATCAGATGGTAGGAAGAATAAATTATTTAATGCTTAAATTGACATAACTTTACAAAAAATCGGCTGATCGACACTTTTTTAAGTACGACTTGAATAGTTCATATTTATTGTATTAGGTCAAAAAATTAATACTATACTTTATTCAGACTTTAAAGGTCGTGAAACTTTAAAAGTATATTTCTCAGGCAGGCGGAAATGCAGTCTGTCATGTTTGGCTCATATTAATGTACTCTGACGTCATACCATTTGTAAACAGCATCTGACAGCAGCATAACCTCTCAAACTTTCAAGTATATGAATATAGCTTCTACCAGTTCACATGAAAAACGTAGTAATAATGATTATTGGATCGTCCGAGAACTTAAAAACAGAATTTGTATGACGTCACAAGATTACCGAGAGTGATTTCACTGTTTCCCATTAAAAATAAAACATATAGTTTTAAAAATTAGACCTATACGTATATATATTAAAATAAAATATATAGTTTTAAGAATTAGACCTAGTTATATATCCATCTTGCGCTTTCAAAAATTGAAATCGATTTAGGTATTCCGTTTTTCCTAAGCAAAATACGAGCCCCTTCCCACTTCAGTTGGCCCAACTATTGAAATCTTAGTTTTTTCCTTATCAAACACAAATAATAAAAATGTAGCTGGGTGATAGGTTTGAAATTTTAACAATGAATATTTTAATAATATATATGTAGCAGAAAACACCAACTTTATCACTCCCTAATCAAATTTGCAGCATAAAAATTACACACGTTGCAATTACAGCATATCAACCTATTTTCATTTCAATGCAAAATAAGCCTATAACGCATAGGTGGCCGTGAAAAATAAAAGCCATGACAATTGTTTTTATTAATCACAGCTGTCAGAATACGTTTAAAATAGTTTTGGGTAGTTAAGGTTTTCAAAATGGGTACAGGAAATGTTATTAGGTAGAAAATTCGGTTACTGATAATTAATTTTTTTAATTCTGGGAAATCGAACTCAGAAATTGCAACTTTGTTAGACTTATCGCGGTACAGTGTGAGAAATATTGTTAGAAGATATATCGTAACCGGTTCAGTTAATATTATGCCACGATATGTGAAAAAAAGTAATATCACAAATGCCGACCGAAGAGCATTAAGAAGAATAATCGTGAAAAACAGGCGTGTCAATTATTCACAATTAAGTGCTCTGTGGAGTGACGCTGTTGGAAGGAGAATTTCGAGGTCCACAACTCATAGAGAGGCCCACAAACTGGGATTTAGCACTTGCAAGATAAGTTTTCTTATAAAAAAAAGTGAAGAAAAAACCCTAAAGTTGCACAACTTGTTTATAGGCCCAAGAAAAGCCACTATTCACTCCACTGCAAAAAAAAAATCGGCTTAGATGGGCTAAAGAACATAGACAATGGACACCTCAACAATGGTGTGCAATAAAATGGAGTGATGAGGCCCGATTCGAAGTTTGTGTTGGTAACAGTCGCAGTAGAGTTATTCGCAAAAAAATGAAGCATTCCATGTTGACTGACTGAAGAGAAAAGTGAAATTTCCAGCATCCATTATGGTCTGGGGCAGTATATCATCAAAAGCAGTAGGAAAACTTCATTTTACTGATGGAAATGTGGATACAAACAAATATTTGGCAATTTTACAAGAATTGCTTTTATCAGTGATGGAAGAATTTTTGACATCCGGCCAAGATTTTGTGTTTCAGCAAGATGGTGCCGCGTGCCATACCTCAAAAAATGCTATTAAATGGATGGAAGAAAATAATGTACCACTTTTGAAATGGGTTTCTAGCAGTCCGGATCTGTCACCTATTGAAACTTTGTCGCACGAGATGAAAAAGGTTCTACGACAACATCCTGCTCGTACAATCAGCAAACTGAGACAAAAGCTTCAAGAAATATGGGATTGTCTTACACCAAATTTTTGACAAAACTTGGTTAACAGTATGCCCCAAAGAATTTCAGTCGTAATAAAAAATAAGGGTGACGTTACCCAATGGTAATCTTTCAATTGTTGCTCTGTTAACTTCGCGCATTTATTCGCACATTGTTTATTTGTTCAGATGTTCTATTAGTTATAGGTCTAAGTGATTTCAAATATGTATTTTTTACGACTTGATGAGTGTATCTAAAATGTTTTTGAGAAAATAAATTGTTTTAGAAGTAAATAGTTTCGTCATGTTTAGTTTATAAAGGCATATTTTGGTACAAATCTTGAAGTGGGCCAACTGAAGTGGGAAGGGGCTCGTAATGTTAGACATAATTTATTTTATGTAATCAGATATGAGTTAAGTAGCCTATTGCGAAGATCTATTACTCGAAAAGTTAGCATCAGGGAATCACAAAATTTGATTATTATTTGAAAATAGTAGCACTTTGGTTATACCGGTTGAACCAAGTAGCTCATTTTGAATGCATTTACGAATTCTAAGTAACTATAACTAAGGTTATCACATATATCCTAGATTTGTCTAGACAACGCGAGCGACACTGAGTATACTAAGATTTTAGGAATAAAAATTTTTAAACGACTTTAATAAAATCTTAAAACTTTTCACAGGCTACAGCCTAAACGACTTATTCTCTTTTAACATACTAGGTGTCTCTAGATGTCTTGACAGCGCTAGTGACACTTGGTACACCAAAATTTCGTAAAATCAAAATGGCAGATTTTAAGCGCAGACCTCAACCCTTTTAATCTCCATTCCATGGGCTACAGTCCTAATGGCTTAATAGATTTTGACATTCGTATTGACAGCCCAATTACAAATGGATTATTTACACTTACTGCTGTTGTATTTTTTAGGTATTTTTAAAAAATCTATTTGTTCAAATAGTAATTTCGATATTATTGAATAATCCCAGTTGGCCATGGTGCAGCGACAGTATCCGCTCCAGGTCCCAAAACGCTGAATAGAAGTAGCGATATGTAGATTTTGTTTTAATATATCGCTATCATTGCACAGCAATAAGTATTTATTTACAAACTTTTCATCAACTTTCCGTTACAGATACGTGATGACAGCCGCTCATTGTCAACCTGGCTTCTTGGCCTCCCTCGTAGCAGTCTTCGGCGAGTTTGACATCTCCGGGGATTTGGAAAGCAAGAAGCCGATCAGCAGAAACGTCAAGAGAGTCATAGTGCACAGGCAGTACGACGCTGCAACGTTCGAGAACGATCTGGCACTTTTGGAACTCGAACAGCCAGTGCAGTTCGATTCGCATATCAGTAAGTCTAATAAGGATTCACCAAGTCGAGTAGCTTGATATTTTCATAAACTACTTGACTTCAACCGTTAATTTTACTTGATTTTCTACCTGACTTGAGGCGAAGCATTTTCAAACTGCTTGATACTTGGTGACAAATTATATTTTTGTTCTGCTAATGGCCTTCAGTGATATTAATTTGTACAACCGATTAGCCGTAATTTGTATTTTAATGCAAATATACATGTAGAAAATTGAAAATTGTCACGAAACGTCACGTACACTGTCATCTCAAATGATGCATGCAAACAGCGTTGGCAGACTAAGAAAGACGAAATCAGTAGATCTCGTCGTTAAAAATCGGTAGATTCAAAGACAAAATGGGTAACAAGAAGAAGTCAGGGCCGACGTAAGATCAGCGGGCGATCAATGGCTTTTGGGCCACTCAGCGCCATCTATGAAAAGTATATTTTCATATAGCGCGGGCATACAACACAAATAAATATAAAAATAAATACAAATTAAACTTGTCAAAAAAAAGGTCAACAAACAATTGTAGATGTTCTTTACATTAACAAAATATATGTCGATACATCTACAGAGCATTTTAAATTCGACCCTTACATTATTTATTTTTTCTAGTAGACGCCACATTGGATTTTTGCACAGATAAATAGAATTTTTAATCTGATTTCAAAAATGTATAATATGTGATACATTGACCTTAGTTATTCCAGAAAACAGAAGTTTCTAGGTAGACCGTGAAATTTTCAGATTTCATTTGTGTCGTATTACAAACTAGTCCTCAAATTAAACATAGCAACAGAGTTTGTAAAACTGGGAAGAAGAGAAATAAATCGAGCAGTGAGCAATGTACAGAGAAGAGTCAGGCTTTGTCTAGAAAGTAACAGAAAAACATTTTGAATATGCTTTCTATTCGTCATTGTCTGTCAGAGCGGTCCGTAGGACCTTTGCTCTTGGTTGAAGTCTTGTGAGTCAGTAGGTCTGTCAGATCTGGTTGCCCAGATACCAAACAAAGTCAGATCGAAAGAAGGGAAGAAGAAAGTAAGGAAGGAAGGAGGGAGAGCAAAGAAAAAAGAAGTGCGTCAATTTGAGGGGTGCCTTGGCATTGCTAATTAGTATTCGGCAATTTTAAATTGATCCTAAAATCAATTTTGGGATTGGTTGTTGAAGAAAAATTATAATTTTGGGCCTAAAGTCGCACGATTTAATTTTGTTCACAGTGTGAGTCGCGGCCTTGTGTGCTTGCGAACTTGCTCGACTGTGTAGTCTACTGACTCACGCAACAAAGGGTTGTTATGCGATTCCGCTTGACTATAACGTAGCTGCGCTTGTTGTTTGATGTAGTCCCTTAGGTAAGGGATGTTAAGGTCTCTGTGAAGAGTCTCGTTGGAAACATACCATGGGGCGTTAGTGATTCTACGCAAGGTTCTGTTCAAAAAAACCTGCAGGCTACGCAAATGCGTTTTGGCGAGAAAACACGAAGCCGCACTTGCGTAAGTGATCGCATACGTGGCGCCGCTACGTTTTTTAGTACAATAGATTGCCTGCGTTTTCGAATGATTAATTTTGATCAGCCACCGATTCGACCATTCCAATACCTCGTCCACTGTACTTTGCAGCCTGTCGTGAACTAGATCCCCAGAGCACGACCGGCCACCAGGGCAGTGTCATCAGCATAGAGATAGATTTCACAGTTGCTGGGGCAAGGGACGTCATGAATAAAAAGTAAATAAAGGACTGGTCCAAGAACCGAACCTTGAGGGATACCGGCTGTGATGGGCCGTTTTTTAATTTTGATCTGAAATTTCCTATCCTCGAGGAAGGATTTCAAAAGTCTTAGGAGCCAGAAGGGGAAGCCCTGGATTTGTAGAGAAGGCCCTTGTGCCACACCTTGTCAAATGCCTTTGAGAAATCCAGAAGCAAGATGCCAGTACTTTCGTTAGGGGTGAACCCCTGGTCACTCGTTCAACAAGCCTTATGGCCTGTAGCTCCGTACTATGTTCAGACCGAAAGTCAAATTGCTCGTCAGGAATCACATTGTGGTCTGCCGAGAAATTTTCAAGATGACGTAGAATCACCTTTTCAGCGAGCTTAGAAGGAGCTGACAGTAGAATGGAGCAGTAATCCTGGGGAATATCGAACCCGCCTTCTTTGGAATCATTATGACATCAACGGTCTTCCACGCCCTTGGGAAGTGCTGGATCCTTAGCATGGCATTGATTATTGCCACGAGATAAGTTAAGGACTTCCGCGAAAGTAGCTTCAGCGGCTTATTAGTGATTCGATCCTCTCCAGGTGCTTTACACACCTTGAGGTCTTTAATATGACCTTGGCAGCTCTTCAGTTGAGGAATCTTCTGAAGATTCCTCCGAGGAAAAATCACTAAGGGAGACTCTATTATGATAAAATATCTCCTGACGGATCCTACAATATGTTGCTCCTCGTCGAGGTCATTATCAAGGTCATAGTTGGGAGAGAACTGACTTTCCATTGCATCAGCGAAAACCTCGACCTTTTCCTCTGTCCTACAGACTATGACCCTAGGACCGTGGATGTGCGGGAGCTGTTCTCGCTTTCCATTTCTGACCGACTTTGCAACTTTCCAGAGAGGAATATTTGAGTCAAGCATCCCCGACAAAAAGTCGCTCAATTGCTCATTACGGAATTCATGAAGAGCATTTCTCACTTCATGAACAATATTCGTTGCTCTGTGAATGTCATCTGGTTGACAAGACCTCATCGCTTGCTTAACTGCAGCTCTTTTGTCAGAAATTTTCTGACAAATGACTGCAGGAAGATTTGAACATGCTATGATTTACCTCTGCTTACTTATGTATATTACTGTTATTACCATTGATAACATTTTCATTTTGTGTTAAAGCTTGATCATACCTTTTTATTTCCTTATAATTTTCATCGAACAATAATGCTTGGCGGGATAAGGAAACTCATCACTGAATTTAAGACTGAAAAGTCGATTTGAACTTAAAAAATTCCAATATAGCATCCATATGAAAAAACAAATTTAGTGTCGGCAGTCGAAAGAAATCTTGAATTGAAAATTTGACTACGCCAACTTGTAGATTAGAATAAGTCACAACGACGAGTTTATCTTGAAGGCCCATCTTAAATAAAGTCAGGAACAAATGAATGTGGTTTTGGGATAAATCTTGCGAAACAAATGAGAGTCTGATAATTTCAAGGCCTACCTAGGAGGCTCCGCTTTTTCAAAATAACTTAGATTTCACAATGTCAATATAGCACGTATCATGTGCGAAAATCCGATATGGTGCCCTTGAGAAAAAAATAAGGTTAATGCTGGAGGACAAGAGACGAAACGTCATAATGAAAGCCTAATTATGCTTTCTTGTAGAGGAGAAAAAGTGGCATTTTATTTTGAAATGTCGCTACAAATGAAGTCAGGAAAAATTAAGACAATTTTAGGAAAAATCGGTTTTTCCGTCTCTCACCGGAAGCTACTTTGAATTTCGAAACTTAAGCGACCTCGTGTCTCTTACTGTTGAACAGATCCCAATGGTGAAGTTCGAATTTGAAACACCTTGTATATGTTGTATAACAGGTACATCTTAAAAAATAATTATTATTTTGAATTTTACAATCAATATTAGTCATCGGTAGACTTAACTCGTGTTTAGCGAATGACAAACTAGTTTAGAATTAGTATTTTTTTGTATCAGCTGAAGAAGTAGAAAATGTTTTCTACTGCAGTTTACAGTTTTATCGTTCTATTATTTGTTACACGATGAACAAATTATTTTGCTCGGTATGTATAGTTTTCTCTGAAACTTGTGACAAATAAGGTCTTTCCGTTGTGTACTATTCTACTCGCATTCATATTACAAACATTATCAAGTAATATCTACACTGTAATTTAGGTTGGATTTGGTCCAGAGCTTTAGGCTACAACTGCGGTAGCCACCTTCAGTGACGCTGCCGGCGAGAGCAAAGCGCAATCGACTGAAACTGATCGGTTAACCGGATGAGCGTGCGGTTTTATAGGCGATCGGTGGACTGAAGACTGAGTTGTCTGGTGGGGGTACTCTGTGTTCTTTAGAATTGGGAACCACGTTTTGTTTAAATATGGCCTTCTTATGTTCTATTGAAATTACCACTGTGTTTGTAGATTTCAATTGCTTATCTGTACATTCGGGCTGAGTAGTGGGGGATGTTGATAGGACTTCAGTTTGGTCGAACAGAACATTACGGCCGTCTGGGAGTGTGTGTTAGGCCACCTCTGATTTATAAGTTTGTCCCAGTCAACAGTTTCTTTCATGCTCCTTGATGCGTGTTTGGAAGCTACGTTTAGTGGTGCCTACGTATACTTTAGTACAGGAACACAGTATTCTGTATACGCCGGTACCGCTCAGGGGGTCCCTAGGGTCCTTTACTGAAGTTAGGATTTGCTGGATCTTATTTGTCTTGACGTTGCATTTCTGCAGCAACCTTCCTATTCTATCCGTGATGCCTCTAATGTATCGTAGCAAGGAGACTCGCGCAGGAGGTTCCTTGTCTCCTGCCGGCCTTTTTTATCGTGAAACCTGTTCAATTTGTTCCCTGCGATGTTAACATGATCCAGTTCCCCCTGCAGTTATTGAGATTCACAAATTCGATGTGCCCTGTCTATCATATTTTTAATGACACCTCTTTTTTGCCCAGGATGATGGTTGGAGTCGTTGTGTAGATATCTGTCAGTGTTTGTTGTTTTGCGGTAAACCCTGTGACCCAGCTTTAAGTTCTCTCGTCTGACCACCAATACGTCTAGGAAGGTCAGTTGATTGTCCTCTTCTATCTCCATTGTGAATTTGAGTTTGGGGTGAATGCTGTTTAGGTGATTTAGGAACACTGCTAGTTCTGTTCTTCCGTGGCTCCATACCACGAGGTATCCTCCACATACCGTAGCGAACAACTGGGACGATTAGGAGCGGTGTTCAGTGCTGCTTCCTCGAACCTTCCATGTAGAAATTACATTAGAATTAG